CTTCTGCTTTTGTTGTCCTCTGCTCCGGTAAAACTCTTTGTGCTCATTTGCCAGTGTTCCCTTGTTAAAATCAAACCTTACCCTAGGATCTTGAAGCAGATGATCTTGCCTTCTTATCATAAACAATTTTCTCTACTGAACAGTTTTTGTGCCTTCTTGGTGGCAAACAGAGCTCTTTGGACATGGCCTTCTTATTTGCATAGGTCAGCAAGTATTTACATAGTGATGTCCAACAATACAAATACAACAAAAAGATAATTAGAGACTTGCATTAATAAGTCATGACTGGACATCATTACAGGGGCAGAACTCCTAATCAAGGCAAAAAAGTGTTTAGAGAAGAGACTCAGAAGAAAATTCTCTCTCTTTCCTGCATAATTTACCTCAATGGTGAAATAGAAACCATCATTTAGATTCAGTTTACCAGGTTAAAAACATTTTATAGGAAATTATCATTATCATTTGGTATTTCTTAACTATTTAGAGGAGAAATTACAAATATTCACTAACATATTTGAGCAGAATACCTGATATATACAAGATAACCAAGTACGCATATTCAAATTTAATTTCTAAGAGCCTATTTAAAACATCCTTTTAATACTACATATAAAAAGGAGTGGGAAAAGCACAAGAACAAATGCAGAAGCATACCGTACAATGCCATAACAATTCATTTAAGTAATTTCCCCTGAAAATTACTGCAAATTTAACACCAGACTGGGATAGCTATGAGATATTCCTTCCTTTTGTATTCGTCTCAGACAGCATATACTGAAAGACATTTCTAAGCATTGTACTACAACAATCAAACCTATGTCAATTAGTAACTTATTGTGCATTTCAGAAATTAATGATGCTATATATTGCATATATACTGCAACAGGAGACATCAAAGACCCCAAAGTCTACCTTTCAGCACCGAGTTTAATGTGGATTAAGGTTTTCCAGGCTGAAGATGCCACTTGCTTCTGTCACACAACAGGCAGGAGAACCTCTGTTCACTAGATTTGGCAGCTTGCTGAGAAAATCTTTGCTGAAAGATAAAGGGTATCCCTGCAGAACCCCTTAAATAGCCCTCTACTATGAATAGGTAATAAGGGAAAAATCCACATGCCTAGCTATTGAGAAAAAAATTACTCTAAAGATAGTTAAAGTAAAAAGAAATAAACTTTGGGAAGTGGAGGTTGCAGGAAGGGGAAGGATTTACTCAATTATTCAAGTAATGGCCCCACCGTGAATGAGTACAGGAGGTGTAAAGAGCCAGACTAGACCCCATGGGGAGGTGGTTCCAGCACAAGAGGAATTCTTGAAACAACCACCGTGTGTTTGCACTTGAGAAATCATCACAGTTACTGTAATTACACAAGCACACACTGCCCCCAGAAGGCAGCATCCCACACTTTTCTACTCATGCTGCTTTTTTCTGCTCCCTCTCACTTGCCTGTACCAAGGATAGTTAAACACATGGAACAGTACTCTTACAGAGAACATTAAGTAAACTAGGACTCTTCGAATTAGAAAGGTAACAAATTAAAATCCTATGAAACTTGCATATGAAATAACAAGGGGATTTAGAGAAAGAAAGAAAGAAGAGAAAGAAACAGATAAGTGCCATAAACATATCCTTTCCATTAAATAGCTAGTTCTGGTATTGTCCCCTGGAATTCAGCAGGCCAGGTAGCCTTAAGCTTGCTAGGTGAGTGTCAGGCTACTAGGCCTCAGAACAACAGGGTGACATGGTCCTCCAGAGTTCCTCACATTGCTGCTGCTACCCTGGGCTCCCAAAAAGTGTATCAGGGCCAGACGGAAACACCCTCCTACCCCACAACCTGATCCTTGATATGGACTGGACAGAACTGAGCTGGTACTTTCTGAAGGAACTGGCTAAGATCTCTCAATCCCAAGCAAGGTTCTGAAGCTCCCTCCAGCTGGCATCTGGGCCTGCACAAATAGATCACAACCCTGAGCAGAGGTATGCAGACCTTGAGAGAGCCAAGGATATCTAAGTGGCTGCCACCTTCAGAGAATTTTTTTGCACAGTCTTCTCACTTTGTTTATATTTATTGAGATACTCTTTTCCTCCTATGCCTGGAAGAGCTTTAAAGCCTTTTCCAAACTTCCCCTTTGCAGAACAGCACACACACATACACAACTACAGTAATGTAATTCCCTTTATAATTTCCTAACAGGGTTAAAATATTAAGTTCTGGTCCCACAAGACACTTTGCTGTAAACAAAGTGAAATTTATACTTTCATAAATCAACTGTTCAGCACTGACAGCACAAACAACACTCCTGGAACTGCACAGGGGAGGGATCCAGAGGGATGCCTGGCACAGGCGAGCCGGGTGAGATGAAGACTAAAGCAATGGGAGGGGATTGCAACTTGCGACAGCAAGAACATTCCATATACCTGGGAAGAGGGATGGAAACCCTTGCTTGTGAATGCGGAACCGCCGGACACCGGAGAGCACAACGCGGCAGGGCCTGCGGCCGGGACGGGCGGCTGCGACGCCAGGGGGCGCTCCCGGACAGCGCCCGGGCTGTCCCAGCGTGTCCCGGGGTGTCCCACAGTGTCCCGGGGTATCCCAAAGTATCCCGGGGTGTCCCAGAGTATCCCGGAGTGTCCCACAGTATCCCGGGGTATCCCACAGTATCCCGGGACATCCCGGTGTATCCTGCTCCCGTGTGGCCGGGTGCCTGCACTGGCCTGCGGGCTGCGCTCTGCCGCTGCTCGACTGTGGACCAAGACACAACAGCAATTAGTTTTATCCGTCAGGTGTTCACATTTTGAACGGATGAGATTTTTTTTTTTTTTTTTTTGGACACAGTCATTATGATTTACCTACCTTTTTGGGTTTTTTTTGGGATGAGATTTTTTTTTTTTTTTTTTTTGAGCCGTACTTTGTGTCCTTAGTAGTCTCTGAAGTTTGATTTACAAGTTTTAAAGACGCAACCTGTTCAAACTTCTTCCAAAATTTACACTGACAGAAAAATTTCAAACAAATCAATGGGTTTATGGAGACTGTAGGAAGTGCCCTTGTTTGGATTTTTGACTATCTGAACAGCAGCTCAAGACTCCTGTAAATTTACAGTCAAAGCTGTACCCCAACTCAGCCCCAAACACAGACTGTAGTGCAGGTGATGAAATTCAACACAGCCCACTGTAAGGGCTGCTTTGGCTCTGAGGTGTGTGAGGGAACGACTGACTGGGTGTGGTGCTCACCCTCCTCGAACAAGTCACCCTCCTGCAGTTTAATTCCTGCAATGCCCCAACAAGTAATCAGCAAATCAAATAAAAACTGGGAATCTCCTGCAAGACACTTTAATTGTAAAGCCAACAAGAAGGAGGAATTGGTCAAAGAGCAAAACGATAATACACCATGAAACATGGCACGTTTCTGTGGCAACATCTAGCTTAAAATTAACACAGGCTCTGAGAGCTCATTATTAATGAAAAATTATTTTCAAATATAGGCTTTGTTTGTGGTCTAAGACACCTCCAGGAGTTGAGACCAGTAAGAAAAGGTCAATGCCACCAGACAATTTACATTTGTACATACAGACCTGGAGCTGTCATATTTTAAGTTGCTGGCTCCACAGCAGCCTCAGACAAGCCTATGCTTTTTCCTTTTTTCTCTATTTGCAAGATGTGATAGCAGTTATCTCTCTCATAAATCACAAACAGGGCTCTGACAGACAACTAGTATATAAAGAATGAAGGCTTGTTAACAGACACTGAAGTTATGCCAACTAACAACCCCGCAAATTCATGCTGTTTGGCTGTGGGTGTATTCATTTAGCTAATGAATATCAGTGAGTGGGATTAACCAGATAAACCTGTAGCCAGTGAGAAATGACTACTATGTAGGGTGTGCACCCCTCTCAGCAATTCATGATTAATGGATTCTAGTAGAGTCTATGCTTTTCATAAACTCCAGAAAAATGAGCCCCAGTTTGCTCAAGGAACTTAATTTTTCTAAATGTAATACTCTGGAGGCTATGGCTCCCCAGGTGACTTACAAATGACAAACAAAAATTTGGGAGAAAAGCAGTTTTTACAGTTGAACCTAAATGTGCATTCCCATTGCAAACAGGAGGAGGGGCTGTTGTTTGCAGTTTAGAGTTCCCAGGGCTGTTTGCCATAGCCAAGAGAAATGTTTACTACAGCTGTAATCTGTTATGTGCTGTTGATTTTAATTGCTTTTCAAAATGTGAAGATAACTGTGATATTTGGAAGAGACTGGCAAGCTGCACTAATAAGCTCTGTTGTGCAGCAGATCTAGTTCACAATGTGCACTGCAGGCTTCTCTGCAAAATTTTGACAGTGTCCTGAGGAGTGAGGAAGGAAAGGAAGGATCTTACACATGCCCTACCCAGCCAAAGAAGTGAGCCTGATCCACTGCCTATCTTGGATCTGTATCCACAGAAGCCTAACCCCTTCCTTAGAAGACCCTACAGAAAGCAGCCAGCTATAGCCACAGAACTATGGTGATACTAAGCAATTAATTATTATTGTAAAAGCAACTCTGAACATCAGATTTGACACAAGTTATTTGGTCCAGCAAGAACTGTCTTGGAAATTAGTAACATAGTACTTGGGTTAGAAATGGGTAGCCAGCAAGGCACCTTGGTTGAGGGCTCAGAGGGGTTCTTCAAATGTTTGGGAACACTCCAGTTCCAGGCTAATGTCCATCCCAAGGCTGTTCCCCAAAAGGTTTCAGCCTCTGGTCTCAGCTGGTGATGTATGAAGGAAATTCTTTGCTTCACTCCGCTAGGCAATTGGTATTCTGTGACACTGACTCACCTAGAAGCAGGTTGGAGGTGCAGTGTGGGTGCTGGTTACAGCTGGGTGCTCCTGTGATGGGAAATGGTGCAGTTTGCTTCATCCAGCCCCTTGGAGTCCAAGAGTGTGGGCTTCTTCCAGGGGCTTGTGTAGTCTCAGCCCCAAATGCAGAGTGCATTTTTCACTAGCAAGAGATTATTCAAATGAGAATGACATGTCAGAGGGTTAAGACTTGCCTCAGCAAAGCTGTACTGTGTAGACTCCACAGACAGCTTTTCTTTTGCAGCTGTGAGCTGGAAAAATCAGAAAACAAGGAAAAAAACATCAGCCAGGCAACTAGTATAAGCTGGCAGATTCAAACATAATAATGGAGCAAAGCTATTGCTATCATCCTGTCACACCCAGATACCCAGAAACTTCAAAATAAACCTGATTGTAAACATGATTTTCAATCATGGATCCCAGTTTCTAATCCTCCAGAAAAGCTAGGTGTGAATTCTCTGTATGCAAGTTGCTTGGCTCAAACTGCAGCACCAGAAATTACCATGTCTATTTAGAAGTGGATAAGAAATATGAACTGATTTTCATAAATGCTTGAGGTCTTGGTAATTTCAAGCAAGCTGTGGATATTCAGTATCTCTGGGGAAAAATAAGATTAACAGATCCCCAGTTGTTTTCACGTGCCAAATATTAATTCTTGGAAGACTGGCCTGACACGTTGGCTCACTTCTTGTTTGACCTCACTGAGAACTATTTTCCTCCTCTGGATTATATACATAATAATGATATCTCTCCCTATAATTTGTCCGAATAATGCTATGCAAATAGTAGATATGATTAATTACTGTCCAGCTCACACTTAAGGAATAGGCAAATTGGTAATTTAACCTTTTCTAAAGATTTTCAGCTTTTGAACTGTTAATTTGACAAGCAAGTGAAAACCTCAAACACTTGCACTTACATACCTTGTTAAAATCAAAGCCAAAGCCAAAGCCATGCCTTACTGATATGAACAATGTCTGCAAATAATCAGGCACTTCAGATTTTCTTGCATAAACAACTGGAAACAGGTCTGAGCAAACAGAGGCAAGTCCATACGTTCACCACCCAGTCCCTGGAGCCAGGGCAATGCGGGGGGACTGTGCAAGTTCTACCTGCCAGAGCCCTGCCTGCACCTCCCCTGCCCCAGGGTTTCTGTGTCTGTGCTCCAGATCTGTCCTGATAGTGTTTGACTGTAATGTGGATTCAGATTAGGAAACTGGGACCTGCCCTTTTATTCCAGGCAACAGCTGAGGAGCCTCATCCTTGCCCAGGCTGTGTCAAGGGTGTGGACATGCCTGGTCTGTACCTCTTGCCCCGCTGCCCTCCTGGCCTGACCGTGGCTGTGCCAGTCCGTGCTCAGCTGGCAGCTGTGCAGGCTGGGGCTGGCTATGGCGCTGCGCCCGCCCGCTCACCGACTGCGCTCCAGCTGCCGCGGGCACAGCTCACCTTCCCTGCTGGGCACCTGCCCCTGCTGCTCCCTGGCACCCTCTCCCCTTCTCACAAAGGGATCAAAGGTGCAAAAAAAAGGTCTCCTTATTATATTTCTTTATACTGGATGAAAAATTATGATTCAATTGCTTTGGGTAAGCAGAGGCCTGTGGGATCTTGCCCTACTGCAGTTTTGAGCTCAGCTGCTTTTACAGAGAGATTTGGCCATAAACCATGGCAGGCAGGGCACTGAGGGAAGGGGACACCTGACCAGGCCGCAGTGGGAACCGTAGGTTCTTGGGAGCCAGTATGCTAATAGAACCTTCCTATATTTGGTCAAGTTCCCAGTTTTCCTTCACTGTTGGTCAAGACCTTTTTCTTATAAGGTCATGTTTTAAGTTCATTTTTCTGATTGGGCCTGTGTCCCTATACCTGGCTGTGTTTGCCCCACCCCAGGGTATTTGGAACCTAGTCTCTGTACCTGCGCAGCGTTTGTTATTTTTGCTATTAAATTTTTTATTTTCTGGATAGTTCCATCATTCCCATTCCTCTTTATTAGCCAGCTCCTCCCGGCAAAGCCAAAGCAGGAGGACCTCACAGGGCTTCAAAGCTCATAGAAGCCCCTTCATATTTCTGTGCCTATGGTGACCTAGTTTTAATCTGCATTGTGAATTGATAAAAAAATCTGCTCTTACAGGACAAGCTGGGACTCACAAATGAACCAACTATATCTGGAAAATTCACTCCAAAACTTCCTATAATCTAAAATGGAAATTGCTGAATGCTTTCAGGACATGCATGTATCACCAGTCCTCACCAGACACACAGGTGGCTGCCACTCTGCAGAGGCCTATGGAGGTGCAGTGGGCACAACCCTGACTCACCCAGGCAGCCCAACTCGGTCTGAAGCAAACCTGCCTCGCCTGTGACACTGGCAGGGCTCAGGGTGATGAACACACCACCTTGGCATCTAGGCCACACTGGCCTGCCTTTGCTGAGGGGCATGGAGCAATGGTAGCAAACACCAACCACATTCACCTTGTGTCATACAACCCCAGTAAACACGCCTGGGGGAGAAGGCAAAAGTGTAACTCAGTGTTGTAGCCAATGCATTATATATTATCTAAAGAAAAAAAGACAGGCAGAAAAGCCTCTTTGTGGTAAGTACATTTACAACACCTCTTCACTGGCTCGCTAAAGAGATACTCACATTGTCACCATCCTGTACCGAGGTAAGATTCAAAACAAATGTACTACCAGCTGACCAATTAGACATAGGCACTTAGAATGTTATTCCACTTAGCCTGTGCTTTTTAAGGCAAAGCATTGGGTGGTCCTCTCCTTGTGTTTGTACAGTTCCCTAGCACAATGGGGCTTTGATCTGTAACTGATATTCCTACAGCTATTCAATAGCTGAGGCACTTAAGGGATATCAGAAAACTGCCCAGTACAACTGGCAGGTAGCCTGGCTGGTTGTCACAGGGCAAACTAAGGATAGGACAAAGAAAATAACTTTGAAAGAAAAGTAGAAGCAAAATGGTAGGATAATTTTGCACTGTGGCTACACACTACATAATCTGAGTGAAAAAAGAAAGATTTTGAATAGTTACTCAGTTTTAAAAAGCAGGTATTAATTACCACATAAGCTAAAGGGAGAATGACAGAATCTAGAGTAACTTTTTCCAAGTAGTTTAACTTTAAAAAAAGCTAGTCTTTCTTTTGGCTAAATTTTCTTTACAGCAGTGAAGAATAAAAACATCATATTAATGCTGTAACTCAAAGCAAAAAGCCCCATAATATTTCAAGCCCATTTGTACCTCTAATACATTTGAAATTATCCCAGCCATTGCATGATGATTGTTTGCTGAGATTTTCCATATGATTAGTTTCACTCTGATTTATAAATTTCTTATATTCATTTTTTTATAGCACATTTTAGTTTTTCTGAGGGCAAACAGTTTGTTTCCAGTATTTTCTCTAACTAGAAATAGTTGAGTGATATGACCAATTAAAAGCAGATTACACTGCATGGTGTATTTCCATTATGTCTTCAGACTGTGCCTAATTACACTGTTTTTCTTTCTACAAAATATTTTGGTTTCCTTGAAGAAGTTCAGTGACAGAGATGAAAACAAAGATTAAATTATCCAAACACAGATGCTCAAAAGCAAACATATAAGAACCCAGTACAAGGATCCTTAGAAAAGTAATGCTTTAATTTGCTAGGGAACAAATATTAAGAATATCAAATTAAGGGACATGCTGAGCCTTGGATTTTGAAGGAAGACACTTCAAAGCATCCTGTTTCTTAAAATGACTGATCTTATCTGTGAAACACTAACATGCCTCATTTCATAATTTGGGAAGGTGCCCCAGACCAATAGCAGCAATGGTCAGAGAATTTCAATTTCCAGCCTAAACATACTTAAAACTAGTGGACACAATCTGAACAATCTGTTCCAGGGATTCCCCTAAGTGATGCTTTTTTCATAAATAGCTTCTATCATGTAAATGCCAGTGGAGACATTCTTTCACCCAGTCATCTTTGTGCCCTCAATAATTGTCCAAATCTCTTCAAACAACATTATTATATCCTCCACTCCTTGGGAGCTAGCCCAGCTTCCTACAGACTCACCAGTATGTAGCTATTGCTTACTGCTTTTTGTTTCCTTGGATCCTCTGGTCTCATGTCTGTATTTTTTAGCTTTTTGTCTGTGTCACATACAGCATTAGCAGATTCACCAGCCATGTGCAAGGGAAGGAAAGAAGCCTCCTTCCAGCCTTCATGGGTACACTGGGCCCTCATCCTCATCTCCTAGAGGTGAAACTGCAGACAGCCTGGCACAGAGCAGAGTCCAGCCAGGGGCAGACCTTCAACTCAGCAGATTGACACTTGCTGAGCCTGACAGACAGCTAATTTTCCTGACTACCAACAGAATTTTCAGACACTTGCAGTTAAAGAACATGTTTTAAAATGTTGGTTCATGGATTAATTTGAATGTATTTGAATAGATTTGATGGGAACTGAAAACAAATAACTCTAAAAAAGATCCCAAGAATCCTAAGAAAAGACAAGCTTTAAATGAGTGGGCTGGACATCTTAAACAATCCAACAGCAGTGAAGATTCTTACAGCCAATGTGTGAGTCAGTGACAGAGGTGGTACTAAAACTTATTTTTGCAACTCATGAATCCAGGGTCCTTCCAAGGCACAAAACTGGCTACTACAGTAAAGCAGCTTATGTGTATTTTCAGGGGGAGAGAAGAGACTAGAAACTGTGTTGATCACCTAACTCTCAGTTAACAGCCAGGTCAAAAGGCAGGAGGCCAAATTAGATAGATCAAATATCTATCTATGCTACATTGCTAAAAGCATGTGAAATATATAACTGTATTAACAGATTCTGTAGTGGATTAAACCTCTTGTTATTCAGGCAACTCAAGTAGGTGATAAGTTATAATTATGTATTGGTGAATTTCCCAGTTATCAAAAACAATATTATTTTGAGCTCCTCAGCACTCCCTCAGTCTTAGCTCGAAGAGAAAGAAAACCCCTCACTGATACATGAGAAAGCAGGAAAGCAGACACAGCAAAAAGCACAGCATTGCTTAATCAATTGGGAAAGGAATGAGAATATTTGTCTTGTAGCTTTTTGTATACAAGGTCCTTTCCCCAACACCATGTAAGGAGTGTGTTCTTGCCTTGCCTTTCCAATTACCATGTACCAAGTGTGTAAGGAATACATTCAAGCAGGAAGTTTGAAGGGTAATTTTTAATGTCCACTCTGAGGTTTCCAACAGGATCCATTTCCCTGTGTTTTCTC